GTTCACTAAGATGTTCTCCTAGTCTTTTCCTTTTCTTATTCTCATTCATGATTTCCAATTATGCGAAGATTAAACATTTTTATCTTTGACCGTTTATTCAAAGAACTCGAGTGCACGAGTAGTGCGACCCTCGATGGTTCAGGTGTAAGCTAGCCGTGGGTCCACAACTCTTTGATGTTCAAACTCGTCCCTAGTGTTATAATTAAGATGAAGCTCGTTTCAACTTAATCACCAAATGAATCAAGATTGGCGTCTAGCAACTACGCATCATGATTCCCTAGATACAAATGACATACCTGCAAGAACCGTGTGATATAGTTAACGTATAGTACGGTCCCTTCGATTCATATGTCCCGATTGAACTAGAGGCATTGGTTCATCTAGACCTCCTTCGTAGATCAATAACTGTGCGATCGTTCAAGTGTTGTAATCGGTACGTGCATGACTTAGAGAATCAAATTTTGTAATCATCACTTAGTCAGCTCTGGCCAGAGACTTAAAGATTACAAACTATGATAACACACAGAACATCCAAGACTATTCTAGCGATCGAATCCCCGACTAGAATGCACAGACCTCGCACTAGATTTTGGACTGCACAAACACTGGCCCTTGGGGCGGCTTTCGGTGGAACTCAGAGACCGGTCACGATACATCTAGTCTTCTATGGAAGTCACGGTGATGTCTAGGTCTTAAGGACTAATGGTGTACAACTATATCATACATATCTCTACTCGATTATTGAGAACCACATAGAAAATTCTAGGGTGAGGGAGTTCAGTGAACTCGTCAACTTACGAGCACCCACTTATGCATGCCGATATCACAATACCGTTTACTGATGAGATGCAGTACACATACACTAAGCGCTATCCTCCTAACGGGAAAGGCCGATATCCTCATTGGTGGCGTAACCCTTCGACTAGGAACACATTTAAAAGTTATAATACTTAAGTAAATATCTCACGATCCTAAAAGATCAATTACGAGTACTTGTAATAAGTGTAAGGACTACATCTATGTATGAACAAGGGACACAGATATAGAATGCCAAGGTGTTTTATCATTAATATGAAAAATGATTATTTATTACAAGAATAAATGGAAAGACCACAGCCACAAGTTGGCTTGTTGGTCACCTACTCTAACAATGTCTAGGTCTTAAGGACTAATGGTGTACGACTATATCATAGAGATCTCTACTCGATAATTGAGAGCCACTTAGAGATTTTTAGGATGAGGGAGTTCCGTGAACTCGTTAACTTACGAGCACCCACTTATGCATGCCGATATCACAATACCGTTTACTGATGAGATGCAGTACACATACACTAAGCGCTATCCTCCTAACGGGAAAGGCCGATATCCTCATTGGTGGCGTAACCCTTCGACTAGGAACACATTTAAAAGTTATAATACTTAAGTAAATATCTCACGATCCTAAAAGATCAATTACAAGTACTTGTAATAACTGTAAGGACTACATGTATGTATGAAAAAGGGACAAAGATATAGAATGCCAAGGTGTTTTATCATTCATACGAAAACTGATTATTTATTAAAAGAATAAATGGAAAGACCACAGCCACAAGTTGGCTTGTTGGGCACCTACTTTAACAATGTCTAGGTCATAAGGACTAATGGTGTACAATTATATCATAGAGATTTCTACTCGATTATTGAGAACCACTTAGAAATTTCTAGGATGAGGGATTTCAGTGAACTCGTTAACTTACGATCACCCACTTATGCATGCCAATATCACAATACAATTTTCTAATGAGACGCAATACACATACATTAAGTGCTAGTGTCTTAATGGGAAAGGCCGATATCCTCAATGGTGGCGTAACGCTTCGACTAGGAACACGGTTTAACAGTTATAAAACTTAAGTAAATATCTCACGATCCTAATAGATCAATTATAAGTAATTGTAATAACTGTAAGAACTATATCTATGTTTGTACGAGGTACAAAGATATAGAATGCCAAGGTGTTTTATCCTTAATACGAAAAAAGATTATTTATTACAAGACTAAATGAAAAGACCACAACCACAAGTTGGATTGTTGGTCACCTACTCTAACAGAATGCAAGCGAACCAAGAGACAATGCAAGAGGAAGAGAGAAGAGATAAGAAGGAAGAGAAAAGAGAGACGCGAAAAGAGGAGATGTGAAGAGAGAAGAAACGAGAGACAAGAGTAGAGAAGAGAAAGAGAGAAGATGTGAGAAGAGAGTAGAGGAGAGGACATGAGAGAAGGGAGAGGAGACGATATCACTTGTGACTTTTGATCAACAAACATTCGACTTATGATTTTTTTTTCGTCGCTAGTTCCCGTAACGCCAATTTGTTGACTTCCAACTTCCGACTTACGATCAGGTGGTTTCTTGAATCCGGTCAACTAACTTTCATCAACTCAACTAAATCAAGTTAGCTTCATCATGTAAACTACCTGAAGTCATCTGATTGAAAGTCAACCGATCGTTGATTCAAACTCCAGTGCGGTCCACCATTAGAAAATCAACCAAGTAATAAAGTCAACTTAATGAAGGTAACTAGTTGGAAGTTAAGTAGTTGAAAGTTAACTAATCAAAGCTCCAACGTCGATTTTTTTTTTTTTAAACATCAGCTAACTATATCAAGTTAACTAATTGGTAGTTAATTAATCGTGAGTGATCTGCTCACCTCCGGTCAGTTGACTTCAAATAGTTAACCTGATTAAGTTAACGTGATTTAGTGGACTTGAGGGAAAGTAGTTGCCCGTAAGTGGGAAGTCAGTTCATCGTAAGCCAGAAGTTAGCTGATCAAAGCTCCGGCAACCCGCACCTACAAAAAATCGCAAGTCGGAAGTTAGCTGATCGGAAGTGGGAAGTCAATTGATCGAAAGTTCAAAGTCAATTGGTCAGAGTCCGATAAAATAATTTAAAATAAAAAAAAGTAAAATATACATAATAAAAAATTGGAAAATTAGAGGAAACCCCCCATCTAGGAAATATTGTTAATGAAACACCCCTCCCAAAAATAATTAGAGAAAACCCCCTTACCTAATATTCTACCCATGTGATATTTTCATAATTTCAAAACTACCCTTAATTGTCTATACTTTTTCAAAACCCTAATGTTATTTTTGATTTTATTCCGCCGCTTTCCCGTTTCTCTTTTCTCTTCTTCTCTCGGTTTCTCTCTTCTTCTCTCGGTTTCTCTCTTCTCTTCTTCTATGTATTCTTTCTTCTCTATTTTTTTCTTTATTTTCTCTGGCAATCTTCTCCCCGTCGCTGCCGCTGCCAGAAGATGGAGAAAGAAAGAAGAGGAATCACTCGTCGTCGGTGTGTGGAGGAGAACCACTCTTCTTTCTCAACAGCATGTTCCACCCCGTCGGCGTGTGGAGGAAGAAGAAGATGAACAAGCTGTTGAGGAAGAAGAAAAATCACTCATCGTCGGAGGAGAATCAACGGAAATTGTTGATGAAGGTATTTTTTTTTTTTTTACTTTTATTATTTTTTAGTGTTTGTTTTGTCATGTGCTCAAAAATTGTTTATGGAGTGACCAACAATGGTTGACAAATACCTTCGAATAGTTCTTGTTTTTTTCTTTTGTGGACATTGAAATGCTAATTTATGTTTTTTTGTATGAATTATTTATTTTATTCTTGTTAAGGATTGGTTGAAATTGTATGGTGCGACGGTGTAGTGACGGCGGAGAAGCATATTTAGGGTTTTTGGGTGGATCAGGCGGAGGACGACGCATGTAGAGAATTTTGCGCAGGCTGAAACCTTAATCGACTATGTACATGTTCATAGTCGATTAAGCTAATCGATTATGCTCTGGTAGTCGATTAAGCTAATCGATTATGCTCTAGTAGGTGATTAAGGTTGATCAACTCCAATTTTTTTTTATTTTTTTTTGGATTTTTTTTATTGATTCTAATTGTATAAATCATTTATAATGTTTGTATATTTTTTATTTTTGTAATATATAGTTGATGTTGCATTTTTTCGCAGTTGTGATTTGTTATTTTCATAGCAGATTCTTAATCGACTATGCTTCACATCATAGTCGATTAATATGCTTCATTGACTTCAATTTTTATTTTTTTTTGATTTTTTTGTTTATTGATTCCAATTGTATTAATCAATTATAATGTTTGTATATTGTTTGTTTTTGTAAAATATAGTTTTGCATTTTTGTAATTGTGATTTGTTATTTTTAGTAGTCGGTTCCTTAACCGACTATAGTTCATCATAGTCGATTTAATATGCTTCATAGTCGATTAATATACCTGATAGAGAAAAAAAGTTAAAAAATAAAAAAATGAAATAAAAAAAAATAAAAAAATATTTAAACTTTTCTTTTGAAAAAAATAACAATAATAAATTAATAATAATAATAATAATAATAATAATAATAATAATAATAATAATAATAATAATAATAATAATAATAATAATAATAATAATAATAATAAATTTATAATAATCATAATAAAATAATAATAAAGAAAAAAGGAAATAAAGAAAGAAAGACACAATGATGGGTCATGGGTGATAGTGTGTAACGTGTAGGGATATAAATGGAAAAATGCATGACTGAAATTTGGTGTGAATTTTTCTCAAATGGTGCAAAATAGTTTAGACCTCTCAGAAGTATTGAGGGGTTATATCAAAGAGCCCATATAATTAGAGAAGCCTAAAATGAGTTTCTTGTTAGAATTATTTCGAATGAAGCTTGAGAGGATACTTTGGGGATATGGTTTTGAAGGGGTTTATTGAAATAAAAAAAACAAAATAAATAATAAAAAAATGGGCTTATGTCTAAGGAACAGTTTTTTTTTTTTTTTTTTAATCAGTAAAATAAATAAAGTAAAAGAACTGAAAATTACAAATGTCAGCAATAGGAAAAATGTAATAGTTGGTTTGAAGTTAATTCAAATTACCCAACAAATAAATGATAATTGGGGGTTTAACAAAAAAAAAAGAAAAAGAACAATCTTAATTGAAATTGCCCCACGCCCACGAAAGGTAAAAGAACTGCGTTTCACATACGAAGAATCGTCGGCCCCTCTCTGAAACAAGCAACATTGAATATCCGTAGACTTCTTACTTGACTTTTTTTTTTTTTTTTTTGGTTGTTTTTATTTAATTGAATTTCTTCTGTTTCTGCTTAAACCCCCAAAACCCCTTTTTCGGAAATCATCGTGACAGAGGAGCGAGCAGATGAATGAAAAAAATGGAGAACCCAACAACAAAGAACTCTATGCTTTGCTGCACATATCGCCCGAAGCTTCTGATGAAGAAATCAGAAGGGCTTATCGCCAATGGGCTCAAGTTTATCATCCTGATAAATGCCAATCTCCTCAAGTACTAAACCCTTACTCCCTTGTTTCATTTTTTTTCTAAATAATTTTTATCTGTTTTTTATTTTTTTGTTCTAATTCTGTTTATCTATGCTTTCCGTTTGGTAAAATTGATTTTTTTGGAGTATATATGAATGTGGTGGTTAGGTATTTTCGTTTCGCCTTTTAATTTAATTCGGATTGAGGGTCGGAGGGGGAATTGGATTTATATTTTTTTTTTCATGTATATATGAATGGTGCTGAATCTACTTAATATAACCTCTATTTAGTTTCTACATTAGATTTTGAAAACAAAAGTGGATTATAGTATATAGGTTTACTTTGTTTTTGCGATGCTGAGCTCAGCGAATAATCAATTTTATTTTGCTGGGCCATTGGATTATATGTGGCTTTTGATACTATGGTTCAGTAATCAATTTTTACGACTCTGAAGTTAGGAATTTAGTTTTATTGACATTGTGTTTTCAATCAAAGATATTTGCTTCGTGCTTTTCCATTCAAAATCTATCCTTTTCCTTGACCGAAACTATAACTACTTGTTTAAACCTATTAGGAAACAAATGTTCTGCTACATGGGTTTAAATCATGCTTAAGCATTCATGAGTTTTATATATTTGTTTATTGTTTAAAAGTCGAGATCCTGTATTAGAAACTGCAAAACAACTATTTTCAACAAATGCATATTCTATCATATATATATATATATTTTCTTATACTACATGTCGTGTTTCAGTTTCATATAAAGGAAATCGCTAATATGATCCTCTTTCTTGAACGCTGCTGCTCAGATGAAGGAGATCGCTACAGAGAACTTTCAACGAGTATGTGAAGCTTATGAAATTTTAACAGATGAAAAAAAGAGAATGATATACGATATTTATGGTATGGAGGGACTAAATTCCGGTCTGGAACTCGGCCCCAAATTGAACAAAGTTGAAGAGATAAAGGAAGAACTCGAGAGATTGAAGCGTCAGATGGAACAAGAAAAAGTTGCAGCGCATTTCCAACCTTCTGGTTCGATTTTGGCAAATTTGTCGTGGCCTGATTTTGTAGATGGTGACGGCATTATGAGAGGGTAATAATAATTAAAGCTCAAGCTCACTAAATAAATCATTTTTTTTTTCCGTCGTACGGTTTTAGTTTTATTTGACAAAGATATTATTAATCAATTAATTTAGGATGGTTATGGCGAGTGAAGTTCAAACTCAAATATCGAAGCACACTTCTCTGGCTATCGGTGGGAATTTGGCGGTGAACTCAAATGCCGGTGGTGGTGCAACGACTGCTATCCTTAGGCATAATTTGTCCCCGGTTTCTTCTGTTGAATTTATGGGCTCTATTGGTTTGCAGTCGTTATTAGGAATGCAATCTTCTCGGTAGTTACCATCTTTCTATCAAATGATTTCAAATTAAATTTTTTGTTCAATTAAACTTACACACACACGCACACCTTTTTTTGTGTTCCACTTTCAAGACAATTGTCGGTTCACTCTACTGCAATAATGGGGATTACCATGTCTTTGAGAGATGGCTCGATTAATCTATCAAACACTTGGAGCCGTCAACTCTCGGAGACAACAAATGGAAACGTAAGCTTTTCTGCATTAGAAAAAAAACTTGTTCTTTCCTTCTTATTTATTGTAATTAATTACTATCTTTCTATGCTTATTACATCATTTTTGTTTGACGTGAGGACCGAATCAAATGCAGTGAATTCCTCATATTAAATATAACGTCTCTTTCGCTTTTCTTCTGGTCGTCTTTCAGATACATCTCTCTTTAGGTGTAGAATCATCTATAGGTGTTGGCTGGAGAAAGAAAGACGAAAATATGTCTGCTTCGGGAGGGATTAAGGTAGCAGCCTTCTTTACTTCACTTTATCTTATTTATCGTTTCACTTATGTATTGCAAATTTTTCGCAGAAACGTCCCTTTTAAATTGTATGTTGTTTCAACGTTTGGATTTCGTTTCTCATTTTTATATTTTTCATTTAATAAAAATGGCTCGATTAATTGTTTTTAGAAACTCCAAAATTCTGACCTATCTTTCTGCTTGCAATAAAGTCTAGTGTCTGCTATGCATGCTGGTCAGCGTGCATTATCTCTTGAGATTATTATTTAAAACTGTTTGACAGAGTTGTTAAATTATTACTCTACGGCTTGAGCAATCTGTGCATGAACTCTACAAATACAATTTAATTTTTAATTTTAATTTTTTTATTCTGTTATGCAAAATGTACTACAAGACTAGTTAGTCATCATAACTTCGATGGAAAATCGTGTAACAGCACATGTCTAGATACTCGAATCTTATGCAAAAAAGAAAACCCCTAATTAAATGTGCTCCGATGTCGTTTCAGACACGTCATATTTTTGTTTTATGAATGAGAAACAGAAACGAATTCCATTCTAATTGTCTTACTGTTGTAGATTGGGACAAGCTCGTTTGGTGCAACTGCTCACTACACTCATTTCTTTTCCGCTAAATCACATGGACGAATTGCCGGCACAGTTGGAAGGTGTGTATTTTTAATTTTTCTCCATTTTTTTACCATATGATATATAAACATTATCGAGTCAGGATCAGCTTTTTTGTTCATATGCCTCTATTGTTTATTACAACTTTATCAATTAAATATTTCAGAAAGATTTATGGTCATACATGCATCGATGCAATATTAACAACTCAGCAGTACGCCTAAATAAATTAATTTGATAAGTGTTTATCTGAAGCAAAGTTGAGGAATAGAAATTAGGCTAGCTTATTAATCTACTGCCGTTTTGTGCTTAATCAATGTAAAGTTATTATGGTTGTTGGATTGACTTACAGTCGACATTATGTATGAAGATTCACTGTGCGGAGTACTTTGTTGCTAGATTAGATGTGTAATTTAGTAGAAAAATGTTGTAAGAAAATAAGTTAATATACCATTGAAACTAACAGGGAAATCTACGAAGAGGTGTTGGGCGTATTATACGTGTAGAAATGTTTGAATATTTAAGAGATGAAAAGGGAAGTCTCACTCTCCTTAAAATATTTCATTCTATGGATAACGCCTAAAACTTATATCTATCTGAAATAAACCGGATTGAAATTTTCGAATATGTGTAGTCTTAGATGCAATAATACTTCAAAATCTGGCATGTAGGCGAGACTTGTGACATGCTCTACGTTTTTGCAGTGGTGCACTTGCACTTGAAATTGGGGGTGGAAGAAAAGTATCAAAATCCAGCACTGTTCGAATGTTATATTCCATTGGAATTCAGGTATGGAGTTTTGGCCGCGGCTACTGTTTTGATACTTCATTGTATATCTGCAAATTGTCACACCATTGACCAAACCATTGACCAATTCTCATGAAGTTCACTCTAAAGATCGCAAGTTTTGCTTTATCTTTCAAATTGCATTTTGTAAATTAATCAATTTATTTATGGCCCATTTCCAATCTTAAATATCTTTTTTTCTTTT